CATTCTGATCCACACAAAACAAAAATAATTGTTATCACCAATTAAAATACGCTCTCCCGAATTTAATCGGTGACACTTATATGGAAAAGGGTCACAAATTTTAGAAGAGGATTGTGTCAAAATCAAAAGAGAGATACTTTCTACTGATCAATTAATAGGTCTTGATACTTTTTTAAGTGATAAAATTAATGTTACTATGAGCTCATACAAAACTGATTCAGTAACAGGAAAACCAATTTATTATTTAAAATCAACTAAAAATGATATGTGGGAAAAATATCATGAAGAATATCCTAATGGATTAAACAGAACAAGTTTTATGTATAAATTAGATGGACAGTTTAGATATAGAGAGGATTTAGGTGGTTTATGTATGATCTGTGATTTTTATGGTTATCAAGTTTTTGATTCATTAACTGAATTTATCAATGTTTCAGATTTATATTTACTAGAAAAAAATAATTTGATCAATAAAATAGATTTACTTAAACGCCATTTAAAATTTGGTTTGGATAGTGAAATACATCAGGAAAATAAACCTTACGTAAACCTACATAAGGTTCATAATTGGCCAGCATTGTGTCAAGATTTTGGTAATTCTGTTAACAATTCCGTATAATGCTGGCCAATTATGAACCTTACATAGGTTTACGTAAGGTTTATTTTCCTGATGTAAAAGTTATGGATAATGGACTCCTTCAACATTCTCCATGCTTCAATCATTGCCTCTTTTATGCTTTTGGGGAATGTAAAGAAGAACATACATTTTTTTGTAAAAACTGCTTGGCATTATTTGTGATTTTAAATGAAATTAAAAAAAATAATCTAATTGACTTGGAGAAATGTGATGAATATCAAGATAAACTTTTATATTATATGTCTCATCAACTACATAAAAGATATTTAAATTCACAATTTAATGCAGCATTACACGAATTAAAAAATAATGGTGCTGTTTTAGTTTGTGATTATAAAATGAAAGTAAATCCTAAAAGTTCACATGAGACAAAAGGTGATTTTTTTGGAAAAGAGGGCTGGACACTTCATACAAGTTTAGTAATAACCAAATCAAATGATAATGACAATAAATTAATTGTGAGGGCATTTGATCATTGGTCTGATGATGGTAAACAAGATGCTTGGTTTACTGCATCTGCATTGATGCAGTATTATCAAAAATAGGAGAAGGAATTGAATGGATATGAATATTTTCTGATAATGGTGGCCATTATCATAATTCTGAATTAATGGTGATTGTTAGTTATTGGAAAAAATGGTACAATTTAAGTGTAACTAGTTGGCAATTTTTGGAACCAGGAGAAGCTAAAACCATTGTGGATTCTCATCATGCTAAACTTTCACATGGCTTTATTAGATATACAAAGTTAGGTAATAGTATTTCTAGTGGAGAAGATATTGCAAATTTTAATAAAACCCTTGCAGGCACATATTTTGCCAAATTAATTCCAGATTGCAGTAAAAAAATATCAGTTGGTACCATTTCAGGAATTTCCAATTATTTCACATTTGTGTGGCCAATTGCTGAATGAGAAGGAATTATAGAAGCTTATGAAATACCTAATTATGGATCACAAAAAATATATACAATTTCTGATATTAAAAAACTTCTCAAAAACAATAATATTAATCAACCAAGTGCAGTTACTGTTGACCAAACAACTGCTCAATCAGAATGGAAAATAAATGTACCTTCAGAAATTAGCCCTTCAACCCAGTATTTAACAGCACCTGTAGTAAGATCCCAACTAAAAGAAAAAAATTTGGATTCTTCTGGAGATAAATTGGTTATTAAACAGAGATTGGACCAATTTACTAATTTTGAACCAATAGATATTACATTGGTATTAGATGATAATGACTTAAAAAATTTATTATATGAAAAATTAATATCGGGATTTGCTTTAAAAAGTAAACAAAAGTTTGGAAAAAAAGGTGGTGGTAAAAGGCTTGATTTAAATGTAGTTGAAAAATTGAAAGAAATGTTCTTAGCTGGTAATATAGAAAAATGTAATAAATTTTCTCCAGAAGATATGCTGAAAAATCTCCAAAGACATGCTGAAGATAATGATATAGAAGCTGATACTATTCCTTCTCTCCAACAAATCAAATTGTGGATATTTAGATTTAATCAACATCATAAAAAACAAGCAGCTAAAAATGCTAATATTGACAATTAATGTAAATAATGTTTTTAATAATAAATTTAATTGATAATTCATGATTTTTATAATTGAGAAATTTGTTAACATTACCAGACTGAGAATTTAATATTAAGTCCAATTTATATGTCCAATGTTAATGTATAAATTATTATTGTCTATAATGAATTCTCTATAATGAACATTTTTCCCTAATACTAATACTTAGCCAATGGTCTGTTGTATAAAAAAAAAAGTATTTTATTGTTGTAAATGCAATTAAGATTCAATAATTACTATGGTTGGCTCAGTCTAAAGACCTCCTGTTGCTGTGCCATGTGCTCAAATTTCAAAAATTGCAATTTCGTGATTTGTTCAAAAATGCAATAAAATTTTTTTAAAAAAGGGTTACACATGATTTTGGTTAAAAAACTATTTTCCTTACTGCCAAATTTAGATATGATGG